TTCACTATAAAAGTATTTTGCCCATCTCCTTTATATCGCACGAAAAAAATTCCATTTTCATGGTCTGCTGGCTTTTTCAATGCCTCTACGCCGCAGAGGCACCCAACATCGAATACCGCGAATTGCTAAAAGCAAAGCTCCATAATTGAAACGCGTGCCAACAGTTTAATGCTTCACTGCCGCTGCTGCTGCTGCTGCTGCTGCTACTAGTGCTACTGCTATTTTGTCAGGCCAACTCCCATAAGTGTATGAATTTCAGCATTTTTTTTCTCGCATAAAAAACTGGAATTGAATTGAAATGCGTGCAGAACGCCCTTTTGATTTGCACATTTTGCATTGATGTATCATTCCTTTGATAAGAATTGTAGATATGGCAAGAAAAAAACGCAAATAAAAAAGATTAAAAATTTGCGCACCGTTGCAGATTCGCATGCCAACTCAGATTCAGTCAGATTCACATTCAATGTCAGGCCAATGTTTTGTCTGCAGTAGTCATCGCATCGCACTGCTGATAATGAAAGCAGACCTGCGGGCTAATTCAAAAGCAGACAATCACTCATATACATATGTGTATGTATGTATGTATGTATGTATGCACGCGCAATCATTTATGAATTTGTAAATTGTATTTGCTGCAACTGCATTCATTGAGTATTAGGGAAATGACAACAACAACAACAACAATATGAAACGATATGCTCTTGCATTTACTGTACCTACATATTTGGGTGCTTTGTTCGAACACTGCTTCAATGTTACTCCCCCCACAACCCGGAACCACACACAGCGGGCGGTCAATTGAATTAGTGAAATAAACAGGCGGAATAAACAAAGCCAATGACAAATGGTAATAGGAAGATACATAGATACAAACAAATGTATGTGCGCATGTATATATGTAAATGGAAGGGCTTGGCAGACAACATGTTCCGCAACAAAATGCCGCAATACTCAATGAAATGTAATTTGCTCACTGCTTTGATCTCTGCATTTGTGGAAAAGATACATACTACATATGTATGTACAAGTATCTACAAGTACATATGCAAAATGCATTAAAAATAATAAGCAATAGGCTATTGCATTGTCAAATTCATCTGCATGTGGGATTAATTGTTGACAGCCCAAATGGTATACATAGATACATATATGGATGTACATTAGGGTGTTCCAAAATATGTAAGTAAAGTCAGAATTTTTATGATCTAGCCCCCCATAATTGTTACGTATAAAAAATATATCCCTGTTTTTTTTAATCAAAAAATATTTAGAAATGCAATGGGGGGAGGGAGAGGGAGCCATAAATATCGTTAGAATGAGAAAATGGTAAAATAAGCAATTGGGTATTATTATAGACAGTCTCTTACAGAGAAAAGGAGTTTTTCGATCGAAAAATATTGATTTTCAAGAATTCTGTACCATTTCTACGAAATATTGAATTTTTCGAATATCGAATAAACCGATTTTTTTCTTATCGAACAAACCCGTTTTTTCGTTTTATTAAAATTTTAAGTTCTCAATAAAAGTTCTGAGTTCTTCTAAGTTTTCAAGAATTTTTCCATATCAGGGGATACCCCTAAACAGTTTTAAAATTATATGCTAGGCTATTTGATTATGGATCATTTTTGATTTCAGTAAAAAAAAAACGTTGCACTTATTTTGCAAAGAAAAGCTATATTTATTGTTAAAAGTTTTATTGTAATTTTTGGTTATGACTTGAATATTCAATTGATGAAAACTATGTAAAAAAAATCGGTTTTTTTTTTAATTTAAAAATCGCGAATAACTCTGAAACCGGTTTTCGAAAAAGCGGCGAATAATCGAATGCCCTAATATGTATATATATCGTCGTTTAAAGTACACAACTGGAATTTGTCCAAAAAAGATATTTGCTTCCGATAGCTGCTGGAATCACGCCCCTATCCATTCATACTAAAGATCGATAAGAAGAAAAATTAGTTAATGATAAAAGAGAAATAAGACAAGTTTTACTCTCTCCTATAAAATTTGGGCAACCTCACATACGAGGTTTAGCATTTTCTTGATATGCGGTTTTGTACTTTAAACGACGAGATTAATATGCGTAAACATCTATTGATTAGCAATCTGAAATTGTACATTGTACATATTTGTATTTCTACTACATGGTATCATACTTTGTATGCAGTTCATATTTTATGAGCCAACATGCATGCTCTTAATCACACTATTTGTGTGCTAGAAATTGCATGCAAATAAATTCATACGCCGCAATTAGGAAGGCATTAAAAATGGTATTTGTTGAAATTTTTGATACTTATATTTCGCAAATGGTATTCAACTGCTCTATTGAAAATATAAATGTTGAGAGTATTGCTGTCAGCTTCATGACCTTATTAGAAAAAAAAAAAAAACAAACATATGGTACAAGTACTTTCTTCATAAATTAAGCATAAGCAAAGAAGTTTGTATCGTTGTTTGAAAATAAATGGATATGTTAGAAAAAAATAAAATTTACCAAAATCGATCAAAAAAATTTACCAAATCAGGTAAAAATTAAGCAACGTATTTAACGGGTCTTAATAAAACGAAAAATTCTTGGTTTGTTAGTTACACCAACATGACTCCCGTCATGACTATGACTGACTCAACTGTGTTTCGTCGGAAGGCGAGTCAACGCGTACACAGTTGACTCGCGAGTCAGACGCATCGTCTATGTTGCCTATTTATTAGACTGCCAACTTTGGGCACGAAAACTTAGTGACACGAAGATGTTTTAATCATTTTTTATTTACAAATTGTAATTTAAGAGTTGGTGTATAATAGCACAAAATAAAATTAATAAAATGAAAGTACTGATGAATAATTTATTTCCAAAGTAAATTTTTTTTTTGCTGTTATTACGATGAGAATTATTCCTAGCAACATTTAACCATATAAAATTGACACTATGGTGTAAGCTGCAAATTCTTACTAGTTTTGTGTTCAATAACTATTTCTGACAATTTTTTCTTCCTCTCAATTTTACTCACAATTTTGTGTCTACGCTCTCGCTGCTGGTACTTACTGGAAATGTTGTTGTACAAAACTTATATTTCCAGTTGAAAAAGTTGTAGGATGAATTCCATTTGGTCCTCAACGTGGAACATACGAAAAAAAAATTATTCCAAATAGAGATGAAAAAAACAAGTGAATTTCTACATAACACGTCATGTCGCGCTCTTTCACGCGTGAACATGAGCGAATTTTTGAGAAAATCACATAACTATCGTGATTGTGCGTAACTGAAATTTTTTCTGGCGTGAGTTAGATTTTCGTGTCAATCGCATGAATCAAGTGAATGAAGTGAAAATCCGTCCAGCCGTTTCCGTGTGAAGCTCAGTTAGTCTAGACTTAACTTAATGTAACATGCCATAAGAAATCATCAATGATTACTCAACACGTCAACTTAAGCCAAAAGCGGAAATATTTTTTTTTTGTATTTTCTTTGTTAGCTGTTTGAGAGTTTATCGCCTAAAATTTTACATCAAAAAAATGCATGCAAAAAAGTACATTTGCGTTCATTTATTTTTGAGAAATAGAACCGCTCTCAATTTCAGTAAGGTCGTAACTTAAGAATCTAAACTCTGAAGTTGCTTACGGTAAGTATAGAAACAGGTTGACCAAAATATTAAGTTAACTTAAGTTACTGAATATACAGTGGTCGAAAAAATTATAGCCGCCATTTGACAAATTTTAACATATTATTATTTTTTGTTATTTAATTTTGGTTATATTTTTATAAAAATATACAGGTTGTTCGCACTTGCTTGGTTATCAAGTTATTTGGTTAAAAATTACTATTCTGTAGTGTATTTTATTGTTATAAACTGAATAAAAATATAATAACTTAACCAGATAACCAGGCAAGTGTGAACCACCTCATAGTACCTTCTTTAACAACACCCGTGTAAATCCAACTTTCGAACCTTGTACAATATTTAAAAAAAAATCAGCAAGCTTTCGTAAAATTGTGGACCTTTTCCCCTAGAAAAATTCTTAGTACGCAGCTTGAATTTTAGTAGAATAAACAACAAGTTTCAAATGGCTAAAATTACCGTTGATTTTTAAGAATTTTTTATAATAATATTAAACGAAAATCACTTTGATGTCTTTTCAAGTTTAGATTTAGTAATATTTACCAATTTTTGGTTGATTTTTTTCGGTGTTGGGAAGCTGCGAAAAGGGTTCCTAATGAGAAATTATATTTAACCAGATAACCAGGCAAGCGTGAAAAACCACAGTGAAATTCAAAAACAAAATTTTTTGCGACTTTATTTTTGGTAAATTCTTTGCAGGGCCCAATAATCAGCGTTTGTGCTCGTGAGTTAAGCGAACGTTCCAAAAGTTGGTTTTCAATTGCTTATTTTTATAAAAAAAAGTTTCAAATGAAAATTCATTTCAGAATTTTTATGAAAAAATAATAATAATGGGCTGTATGCATAAAATCTAAGCAATTATTTTTTCTTCAAATTTCATAAATTTCACTTAAATTTATTTGAGTCAATCGAGTCTGACATTTTAAGAAACAGTATTGTGAATATTGGGGAGTAACGTTGCCATTCCCAGTTTCGCTTAGATATTGTTCAAATAATTTTGATATTTAAAGAATCATGAACACACTAATTTTTTCAATTAAATTCAAATATTTACAGTCTTTGAACAAGTCAAGAACAAAAAACCTTTTGACTGCCTTTTAATTTCTTTTTCACTCCATATACGGAGCGCTCTGATATTTAAACTGTCCCCTTTTCTCTATTTTAAAATATTTTATTGCAAAATGTACAATACAAACTTTATGAAACCATTTAAAATCTTTACATAATCCCCCACTTTCTTTCAGAATAAAAAAATCTTCACCTGGTACGAGGGTGAGTCCATCACCAGTGAACTTTTCAATGGACGCTTAAGCCTTGTCACCAATCATCCGGAATATGGAAAAGCATCTGTTAATCTCACTGCCATACGTGAATCGGATCAGGGTTGGTATCACTGCCAAATCATCTTCCCCAATCGTACGCCAAGTGTACGCAACAATGGTACGCTCTTCCATTTAGCCGTGCAAGGTGAGTAACTATGACAAGCGAAAAAATAACAAAACAAGTGAGCGACCAAAAAGGTGCAGAATAAAAATAGATTTAAGTTGCGGTAATCTCATCAGAAAATACTAAAAAAAAAAAAATTATATACGTGCAAGAGTATCCAAGCGCAGAAATTGGCTAACAATAAATAGGGAGTCCTGCAAAAAAAAACTAAATGCATTGAGCTCTGCGTGCTTAGTTGCAAAAATATGTTGTTGCAAGTACGAGTATTTATAGCTAAAATACGAAAGCATGCTGTGCCAACAACAAATAGGGCTTCACATACACATCTATATTTAGCCGTTCTTTTGTTCGTTTAAATTTTTTTTTTTGCTTCTCACCTTTAAACTTTTTCCTCATTTTCTCTTCGCATAAACAGGTGGCTCGCTCATAAAAATACCGCCAGTGAATCAAACGATTATGGAGGGTCAAACAGCTTTCTTCCATTGTGTAATGAAATACCCAGAAACATCGACAATTGGCTGGTTCAAAGATGGCACGCCACTAGAGGAAGTACAGGATTTAATACGTCGTTGTCATACGGGCCCCGATGGCAGCCTCAGCATCGATCCGACTATGATGAGCGATTTAGGTGAATACGAGTGCCGTGTCAACAATACAGAGGGCGAGTTTCAATTTGCCAAAGCATTCCTCAACATACAATGTAAGTGAATGTGGCCGTATGCTTGGGTTTGTATGTATGTATGTATGTATGTACGTATATGCGTGGGTAAATAAGTTCCCATGCCCATATGTATGTAAGTATGAATGTGCTTGCGATGCGACTGCATATTAGTACAGCAAAGTAGCAGCAAATTTTCATGGTAGCAGGTAAGCGTGTGTTAGTACGTATACATATGTACATTAGGGTGTTACAAAAACAATAAAGTCGGAATTTTAATGCTCACACCCGCTAGGATTGTTCTATATCGAAAAAATGTACCCATATATTTATTGTTTTGGAATCAAAAAAATAATAATTACAGATCGATTAAAGTGCTCAAAAATTTTCATGTATTTTATATGGAGGTAGAAAGTAAACTTCTTAACAATATTTTTCGATGAAATCTCTGGTTTTTGTTCAGCAAACTTTCAGTGATAATATTCAATTATTTATTTAACCATGTTTTAATACTTAAGATTTTTCATTGGTCCGTTATTGCATTTTTTGGGGATTTTTGGCGTACGTATAAATATAGTTAATATGAAAAAATGGTTAAATAAACAATTCGTACTATTATTGAGAATCTCCTGAATAGAAACAGAGAGAGAAAAATATTGATTTAAATTTTTGAACATTTTGGACCACCCTAATGTATATATGTATGTATACTACATACGTATACGCAGCTATAAACAGCTTACATGTCCATATCATTGTATGCATTATAATACCACCGTTTTTGTTTGTGTGCGAAAGTTTGCGTGCATGTGTGTGCATTTTTTTTTTGTACTATCTGTCGCATAGCGTTTTTGCTGTCATTGTCATTGCTTACGTTGCATTGCTTTCAGATAAGGCCAAAGTGATTTATGCACCACCCGAGGTTTACCTGCCATTTGGTCAGCCAGCGGTACTTGATTGTCATTTTCGCGCCAATCCGCCATTGAAAAATCTGCGCTGGGAAAAAGATGGATTACTCTTCGATTCATATAATGTACCGGTATGTATTTTTGATCGTTTAAGAGTTTAAAAAATCGATATCTACATAACTTCTGTTTCAAGAATATAGCACCTTGCAACAAAAATAAAGAAAATTTAAAAACACACGAAACACTCAGCTCACGAAACTGGGGTCAAAATACAGTAAAACTGCCTTTTTAGTTTTATTCTCTGACGCCAGTATATTTTTTTTAAGACTTTGAAAGATATGATTAACTAAATATTTTGTTTTAATAATTTAGTGCAATGTGGAATAACAAGATGAGTATCAGGAAAGAGAAAATTCTGTTGAATTGAAAGAATTTTTTTTTTATCTTTGGTTCACGTGGACAGACGTATTGAAAACGCGGATTTATTTAATTTAAATTTTTTTTTTTGAGCTAATAATGTAAGGAGGACGGAAACCAATGTTAAAATATAATGTTTTCGAAAATAAATAAGCAAATTTTTCGTCCTTATGTACCAAAAAATTTAACTTTTTCTAATTCAACAGAATTTTCTCTTTAATTTTTAGGCCATCTACATTGCAATGAAATTTTAAAACATTTTTATTTATTAATCATGTACTACACTTGAACTTTCAAAATCCTTTTCAAAAATTCCGGCGTCAGAGAGAAGTACTAAAAAGGCAGTTTTACTATTTTTGGTCCCTAGTATCGCGTATATATTGATATCTGTATGTGGATATTATTGACTACCACACGATGTAAATAATAGTTATCTTCGTTTACATACTTACATATCGCACGCTATCTTCAAAAGGAAAACAACTAAAAAAAAATCGGGTCGATTTTTATGCAAAAATTAATTCAAATTAATGCAGATATTTTTTTCTTCATGATCATATTCTCCAACTAGACAACTACACGAGGGGCGTAGTCCGCAAGACGTACGGAACCATTACTTTAAATTCTTTAGTCATATTAAAACCATTATTCTCAGATTTTATTTTGTAGACCATAGAGGGTTCAAAACGAGCATGAGACCGCTAATATGATCAAAACATTTTGTGTCAATAAAATCGATAAAAAATTACCAAAAAAGTCCAAAATAATGAATATTATTTACCGAAAAATAAATGTGATTATAAAAAGATTAAAAATATTCTCGAAAAAAAAGATCTCCTAAATGACATTTTTATAGATACCAGAAAAAAATAAAAACATTAGGGTGGCTCTTAAGATGTACTTTTAACGGAATTTAGTCTCAATAGAATAATAAAATAAAAAAATCAAAAAAAAAAAAAAATCAAAAATATGAGCTATTGAAGCTCACACACACCACAGCTTAACCGCTAAAACTAGGTTGTTCGATTAATCGCTTTTTTTCAAGCCCGGTTTTCGAGTTATTCGAAAAATTTCAATTTGAAAAAAAACTGGTTCCTTATTTTGAAATTAAAAAAAAAACTACTAAAAACTAGTTTGATTTTACACAATTTGCACTCAGTGAAAATTTTTATATTGGTATGAAGTAATGACCGATATTTAACAGCAAAGATAGTTTAGTCTTCTTTTAATTTTTTTTTATTAATTTATTGCACTTTTACTGACCCCTTCTTCCGAGGTGAAGTAAAAGCGAAATCTCTTCAGTTGTGTCACAACATAGGTAAGCAAAACACGAATTGCATAAGAAGCTCGGTCAAACACGTAGAAAATGTTTAAGCGTCAAACTTTCATTTATTGGAATCAAATATGATATGTTGTTCAACCACAAATAACCTAAGATATATTTTTAAAACTATTTAGGAGTTTCCCTTAAACTGGAGAAAGCCTCGAAAACTTCAAAAATCGCAAAACTTTTATTTAGAGGTCAAGATTTTTATGATATGAAGAAACCGGTTTGTTCTTTAAAAAAAATCCAATTTATTCGATATTCGAAAAAAAAACGGCGGAACACAATTTCGAAAAACCGAGTCAATCACCTTGATTTATTTTCATTTCATACATATTCACGACTCATCTTATTTTCACTTTTTTATTATATTTATACAGGGCGTTTTCTACAAAAGCAACGGCAGTCTGTATTTCTCCAAAGTGGACGAGAGTACGGCGGGCAGTTATACATGCACACCCTACAATGACCTGGGAACGGATGGACCATCGCCCATAATTAGTGTAATTGTGTTGCGACCGCCAATATTCAGTATAACACCGAAACCTATTTACATACAAAAGTTGGGCGAAACAGCCGAATTGCCATGCGAAGCCATTGACCGAGACGGAAACAATCGGCCGACAATTGTCTGGAGCCGAGTAAGTACAGTTGCTACTACGAAATAGATTTGTATGCACATTGGGGTGGCCTTTGAAAAATATCAACTCCATGAGGCATCCGTTTACTTTGTCATACGTGCAAAGTAAATATGTAAGACCACGAAAAAATTTTAGTGTTTTAAAAATATATTTATTTTTTTATTGCTAAATTCGACAAAATTTTGAATTTGACTGAGTGATTTTATGAATTTATATGAATAGGTATCCAGTATATGTAAGATTTATCAGATGGCAAGCCTTAAAAATTAGTTCAAGTTTTCGTGGAAGTGTTTATTTTGTATATAGAACAAAATGCAGGAACGTCCTATACATAACACACATATAATTTGATATTTTTAAGAGCCACCCTAATGTAGCTGCACATGTATGTACACATGTAAGTCTAACAACAACCCAGTCTGGCAGGGATTGAACAACAGCTAGCAGTGAGTAAAGTGCAGTGGGTGCGTATGGCAGCGGAAAATGTACCAAATTGCGTTGGTAGTTAGGTGCGTATGCGTTGATGCGGCATCAGTATGCCAACCAGCTGCTGGTCAGTAATTGCAAGTGCTGCAACCACAAGCGCAATGCTGCTCTCCGTGCAAATGCTCCAAGTACCTACATGTGTGTGAAAACATATGTATACATATGTAGTACAAACACGGTTGCCACTTTGGTAAAATTGTACAAAATATGGGCCTTTTTCTCCGTTTGGGCCTTTGGGCCTTTTTGGTTTGTTTTGGGCCTTTTTGAAGCAAAGTTTCATTTAAATAAGCTGCACTCACAGTTTCAAACATTATACAAAATTTAGGAAAATTTTAAAAGTTTTCATCAAAATTTAAACTTTCTGATCTGAATCTTTAGAACAATTTTGGGTATGTAATAATATTGGTAGCAAAATCGATTAGAAAATCGATAAAAATATTGATAAAAATATCGATAACAAAATCGGTAAATAATCGATATCAAAATCGATGACCAAATCGATAACAAAATCAATAAAAATATCGTTAACGAATTCGATAACAAATATCGATAACAAAACCAATAACAGTATAGACAAAAAATATCGATCACAAAATTGTAGAAAATGTCGATTACTTAATCGATACAAAGTCGATAAAAATATCGATAACTAAATCGATAAAAATATCGATTTTTATATCGATAAGCTTCAAACATACCGATAGCAAAATCTATAAAAATTTCGATAACAAAATCGATAAAAATATCTATAACAAAACGGATAAAAATATCGACTGTTATATCGATAAGTCCCGAGAGTCCCGAAAAACTCTAAAATCTCAAAATAGTTCCCAGATCGAGTCTCTATGTCTCTATCTATATCCTTTTCTTTATAATTACCTGTATTTTAATCTTTCTTCCTCTATCTTCATCTTTACTTTTATCGGTATTCTCATCCTCATTTTTTTCCTTATATTTATCTATCTTTTAACTTTTATGTTTGTCATTTTCTTCATCTACATATTCCCCTTCAGCTTTGCCGTTATATATATAAGTAAAGCGTTACCTTTATCTTAATTTTTGCCTTTATCTTTATGCATTTTTGTTTTTGATTTTATTTTTAACTTTGCCTTTATATTGTCTTTATCTATGTACGTACTCACCTTTACTTTCATTCTTGTTTTTTGTTAAATTATCACCATGTGCATACACTTAAGAAGCACTTGTTTCAGTCCCAACCATTTCCGTTGCACCATTTCCGTTGCACCATTTCCGTTGAATTTGCCAATTCGCTCCCAGCCAACCAACCAACCGCCGCTAAAGAAGTTTCACTTCAAAAAAATCAACACGTGGTCACTTGTTTGAGTCACTGTATATATGTATTTTTGTTGGACGGCAAAAAATGGTAAATTTTATTTTATTTTGGGCCTTTTTACTTATATATTGCGGTACAAAAAATTTTGATGAAGTGGCAACCTCGAGTACAAATATAAGAATGTACAAAGATAGGAGCGTATGGCATAGCTGCCAAACCATCGGTATATAGAGTGACGGAAATAAATTGGAAAGTGGCTTAAAGTGCGTAAAATGCAGCACAACGGTATTGACTAAAATTCATTGTTGACGACACCATGTTGCGCCGCATCGGGGGCATCGGTACGTGTACAAAGAGGAGTGCTCGATAGTGGCAGTTTTGAAACGTGATTGATTGGTTGGTTAAAATTTAATGATAACAGTGTTGTAGAATCTTACAGCATAGAGATCAATCGTTGAGCTGGCAATTCGCCAACAGGCATGAAAATGGTTTACATACAACGATTAATGGTGTGGTGTGGTGTGGTAAGTTAATCGGGTGAAAGGTGGCTTGTGGATGCAAGATTAAACGAATTTAGTAGAGAACCAAGAAGGAAGTCGTTTTCTTGATTTTAAAAGAATAAACAATGAAGTTACATTGGAGCAAAGGGTGTGACAGAGATCAATAAAGAAACAACCGAAATACACTCTGCCAAGCACAGCTAAAGACGGATTTGTGAGAAGATCTATGTAATATATCTTGGTCTTGCCAAAAATAACTTAAGTATGGGAAAACTTGCTATTAACAGCACAGGTGAACTGGTATCTTAAAAATTAAAAGTTCTCTTTAGGCTTGGAGTGCTTAGAGGTACTTAGGTTATAGTGGTTGCCCAGGCAAGGGACACACTTGGACAATTAAGAGAATGTCCTTTGTGATACCTAGAAACAATAAATGGAGACCATTAATTTTATCGGTGAAGCGGGGTTAGTTAAGAAGTGCGAGCCAAAATTTTTAGACCCTAGCCACGCGAACATTCTTGTAGAAAGTTTTTAGATGAATCCATCTCATCTTCCTCTTGGCAGCTGATATAAAAAGATCTATTGAGATTCCTAGTCTTACCGCGTGAATACTGATCGCACAAGCGCCTGTCAGAGCCCCCACCATATCTGGTAATAACATTTCAGTGGTGAGTTTTCTTGCCAAGTCATCAGGTACGCAGTTTACCGCTCTGTCACTCTGACCCAGCACCCAAAGTATGCTTATTAAGAAGTATTCCGACGTGGTAGATAGAGAGGTCCCTTAGAGATTACGAGCGCACCGGTATACCATTCAGGTTCGCTGCGCTTAGCAGTGTATTCACCGCTTCCTTGACAGCAGTTTTTTCTGCCTGCAAGACACTGCGGAAGTCCAGAAGTAAGTATACTTACTTACTACTTGGTTTACTTACTAGCTCCTGCAAAGATAATGATGGTGATCTGGCAATAGATGTCCAGAGTATACTTGGCGACACAGATGGCGCATTTTATGAAGGAGTACTCGGAACTAAGCTCAAGTCCGTCTACTCGACTAATACAAGGTGAGAACAGCAATAAGGCGGCTTAAGAACAACAAGGCCCCCCAGAGCCTGGAATCTCAGTGTATTGGGAAGAACCTTTGTGCGCCGTTCGGCACCAAACGATGTTTTAGACAAGGCGATTCACTCGCCTGCGACTTTTTCTATCTGATGCTGTCAATATGAATCGCAGCAGGACTACTTTTAGCAAAGGAACTATGCTTCTGGCGTATGCAGATGCTATCAACAATCGGCTGCCGGAAACTAAGGAACGTAACTGCAGCATTTTCCAGTTAAGTAAGAGTAGCTAAAAAGATTGGGCTATCTGTGAGTGGGGACAAGACAAAGAACCTCCTGCAACATAAAAGACTACACGCGTTTTGGGACCCTCGTCATTATTGGCAGCTATAACTTTGAAGTAGCGAAGGAGTTTGTCTACCTATGATCTAGCTGAGCCGTTATATTGTCGGCCCCGGCAGCCTTGTTCTTCTTAAACCACTTTATTGGGAGATGGAATTCCACTGCTCATTTATGTCCAGGCGATGAGGCGTTACTTGATTAAGCAGGAAGGTCGATTACCAATTTTTTATTTTTTTTTTTTTCAAATTGAAACTTTATTTAAATAAATATAATTATCGTATCTAAACCAGATCAGTATGGACCACCTCCGAGCCACTACCTTTCCCATGCAAAAATAATTATCGAAATCGGTTGACGTGGTCCAAAGTTATGCGGTAACATACATAAAAATAAAAAATAAAAAATATTCCGACGATCTGATAACCTCCTCCTTTTTTGGAAGTCCGTTAATAAATAGGAGTGTATTTTGTTCCGACGTAGAACAATCCTAAGGGGTGAGAGCATTTAAATTCCAACTTTACTCCTTTTGGGCCACCCTAATGTACATACATACATAGATATGTGAAAATGGCGTGATTGACGGAAAATCTAACTCACGCACGCTCACGCCAGCGCAAATTTCAGTCACTCACGATCGCGGAAGTTAAGTGAATTTTCTCGTTAGTTTATTTCTAATTTTCATATATTCTGTAATACTAGTGACAAATATTTAGTATATGTTATATACAACCTTTTGCTAAATAAACCCATTGACTACTTCGCTCTTTGAACTGTTTGATACACGCACACACAACGCCACTCCAACTGGCATACAAAAGGTCATTATACGAAAATGTGTTCTTTGAAAACATCTAAACGCCAAGCACGAGCTCCACGAGCTCCACGAGCCTTTGAATGCGAATCACAGCTGGCGCCAAAATCATTAACTATTATAAACTTATTTGCTACATAGTCACAAAAACACAAATACACAATCGACACTTTTGTGTTATTTCCATTCTCTATGCACCTTTGCCGCTACTCACTGCTTCACTTTAGTACAAACTAGTTCGCACAATACACTTCAATGCATACGAATTAGTTTTACCTTTGTTTAGATTAAACTAATACTATCAACAAAATGTCTCTGTACGTTTCTTTTTTGACTTTTCCCTCACTCACTCTCTCACCCCGCCCCACTCACTCATAGAAGGATGGCAGCCTACTACCCGTCGAACGGCACACCGTCAATGCTGGCAATTTAATCATAACGAATTTGATCGAAACAGATCGGGGTATGTACGAATGTTCGGCCACTAATGAAGCAGCGACCATAACTGCCGAAACGGAATTGATGATCGAGAATATTGCACCGCGCCCACCCTACAATTTAACGGCGAATAGCACGGAAACAGCGATAACGGTACGCTGGCAACCAGGTGAGTACAAACGCATGCACACTTCCTCTTTTTAAATCGGTGCATTCACCTTGTTTAAGTAAACTCTACTATGTTGATGAGTACATTGCTCAATGCTGTTTATAGGTAAATTTATGTGGTGTTGATGCTGCTTCTGCTACTGGCGTCGGTTGAATGAATTTCCAGTCAACGGAATTTTTCTGGTTGATTGCCCCCAAGAGTTTTGTTGTTGATGACTTACGTATGTATGTAGACGGTTTTGTGATGTTTTGTATTGAGATTTAGTGAAAAGCATATTTATTTTCATTTTGCTGATTTAGTTGATGCTTAGAGTGTTGATGTCTACTAGCATTTAAACAATTGTTTATCGTGGCCCCAGTGGATTATTTATAAGTTATTTGGTAGTTCAATACCATTATTAAACAGCTAGTGCTGTAGTAACATAACACAAATTTGTAAAGGCACATGCATTGCATAGAGTCTTTATTAGATCTGAGAATCGCTTAACGGGCTAGGGGCTCAGTTGTCTACAGAAAAAGAAGACGCCGACTGGACTATGGAGCCTTAATTTGCACACCTTGCTTTTCTCAGTGAGTTAGGTTCATCGGAAAAAAATGTAGAAAAGCTATTAGTCGCAGTACTCTGCCTGTAATGCGGTATTTTCCTCCTTCTGCCAACCTGTGTATACTCCCCAAAGGAAAAATTTAAACCACACTTTTGAACAAATGAAATTGCCTCCTTTTGGAAGGAAAGCAGTAAGCCTAAAGGGGAAGCCTTTAAAATGTGAAAGATGCCACCATGAATGCCCATAGGGACTACTGAATTTGTTTTTGCATATCATGGAGGAGCATTCGGCAGGCCATCGCTTGAGAAAAGTGCATTGGCATTTCCATTGGGCGTCAGTTGGCACAGAAGAGAAACAGCTGGCGTGTTTTGTTGGACTTGGCCGAAAACACTTAGACGGTTACAGCGCCAATCAGAAGACTGTTGGAGACTCCTACGAGTTCGACGTTCATGTGCAACGCTGCAGTATTTCAGTGAACGGATTTCAGGGCTATGCCGATTATTGTCTGTGCTGCTAACTATTCCTCTCCCGTATTGGAGCCGAATACTAATAATTACTGTACTTCGCCCGCCTCTACAGTTCTTACTGATCTCGGGTTCTTCAATATTCCTACCATGTTCAGGTTGTTTACCGCTTCTTCTTTCTGCAGAGGGCTCGGGTACGTCTCATTGCCTTTTGGGAATTGCATATAGTCTGTTGCGTCGATCTATGGGGCATTGTTATTGGCAAGTTCGTCGGTTAAGCTCATCACTCACCGGCCTCGTGCGAGTTTGGTGCTACCATGTTTGAATGCACCTATTGTGCTACCTACTTTTCTGCTTGCAATGAGCTAGGATTCATTGCTCCACTCGCTGGGCTTTTCAATGTGTCCAGCATATCCGCTTTCTATGTAGTCCTTTTGTTTACTTCGTTTGGTTCAGGTTTACATTAAGATTTGGTCCGATTCCATGAAGTCGAATGCCTTTTTAAGGGTAGTCAGAATGCAGATATTTTCATAGTTATCTTCACATCCTCGTTCTCTATTATTTGCTTTTGTTGTTATTTTCTTATTCGTCTAATTTGGCTGACAATATCCTCTAAAAGAAGAGAGGATCTAAAAAATTTAAGGCGTCATTTGTCACGGCAAGGTATCGCTTATCCTTAAGAAGGCCAGCGAGAAAATGTTAATGAATTTTAAATTATTTTTTACTAATAGATATGTTTTAATATTTTTTTTTCAATATTAACCAGGATACCTGCGTCCCAATCTAGAATACACCGTGTGGTACCGTTTCACCGAATCGCCCGAATGGCGTACATTACGTATTCTTCAGAAGAACGTTATGGAAGCAACAATACAAAATTTGCAGCCAGGGCGTGAATATGAATTAATGGTGCTCAGTCAGGACAAATACGGTGATGGTATGTTCAGCAAAACGCTACGATTTTCAACGCAACGTAAGTTTTGGAAAATCTATTTAGCAAAGATGTTAATAAAACAATTGATAACTCTCTGCTTCATATTCAATCACCGCAGAATCGAGCATAGAATCGAACGAAGCCAACATCCTGCATCAGTCCAATCCATTGGCAAGCAGCATTAGCCCGCCATGGAATTTGTCTGCCACCAATAACGTACAAGGCTGGCTTCTACATTGGCAGCAGCCAAAACGCGGTTCCGAATCTGTACGTCTATACACCGTACGCTGGTGGAAGGAACCGGAACATTTTCTCATCGGCACCATCGAAACATTCGACAATTTCTATCAGCTACGTCATCTCAAAGAGGATGCCATTTTCAAAATACAAGTGATAGCCACATCAATCAATGGCGAGCAGGTGGCCAGCGATGTGCTGACCATCGAAGTGCCATCGCATCGCAAGACGCGCGCTTTGCTCATTGGCAGCACGGTTGGTGTTGCCTTCCTGTTGTGCGCGCTGGTCGCTTTCTTGTATGTGAAGCGTAGCTGCTTGCGGCATCTGTTGGTCAGTGGCGGTAACGACGACGATACCAAGGATAGCGAGAAAATTAATAATACCTGAGTATATGAGATCACTTGGCAATTCCATAAGCAGACAGTGAGTGAAAGTCATTAAAGAAGATGAAGAAGCAGAAGCAGAAGCCCAAGCCACAGCCACAGGACGCATTTCCCCCGACATAAACAAAGGCATTCCATTGAGATGAATCGAGCCGAAATTGAGTTTCAAAGAACGGATATGTATTAATTAAGTTATATCGGAATATCTAACTGAAATAAAAATTTATATTTATGTAGGTGCGAGATTAGAGAATAACATCTAATTATGAGCTTGTTTGTAAGTTATTAATACTAAAATTAAAGCAATCGTATATTCTAACTGTAAATTTAGATTTTAAACTAATGGTGGTAAAATTTGGTTTAAATAAAATATGCGTTCCAAAAGAATTTTCAGAGTGGTCAATAAATCTAGGTGCTTTGAAGTGAAACTTCTTTAGCGGCGGTTGTTTGGTTGGTAGTAAATGCAACGGAAACTACACACGGAAATGGTTGGAATGGAAACAATTGCTTCTTAAATGTATGTAAATGGTATTAATTTAGCAAAAACGTGCTACTGAAATGTTTAATATAAAAAAAATACCAAAGACAATAGTACTAGTTATTAAGAGTCAGCTACAAACTAGTCCCATTTCCTGCAGGGTACCGTTGTTAAAAACTGAAGACAGTTCAATCTTCTACTTCGACCCTATCCGACGTCTCCAATTTATATTCAATTTGCCTTTGGGTAATATGTATATGTACATAATTAAAAATGATCTCAAAAAACCGATCCCAGAACAGCAATGGAAGATTGTGGATTCTTAAAATAAAGTCAAATTACGGATTATTACAACCAATTCATGTTTCATCAGATGCAAAGGAAGTGGATTTTATTTTGAATTAAAACGTGATAATGGATGTGACATATCGGACGTGACAGATTTTTCGTCCATATAATATTTTTACTAATAAAACATATATATTCAAATTTTTTTTTTTTAATTTTTTCAGTACTTCTCTACACCGTTTACCGTTTTTATGACCATTTTTCGTCAAGTCGTTTGAATCTATTTACTTGCATTTTTTGGTTTCACTTTATAATAGCTCCGATCCAATACTTTTCGTGAAAAATCCTGTAAAAATGTCAAACAACAAAATTACTCTCTGAAGTGAAAGTAAATAGTGAGTAACAACAAAAAGTACGGGAACGAAAAAAGCATTTTTCCGGTAAAAGCATCAACCAGTGATCGCTTGACACTTTTCATGATTCTACCAGAAGAAAAAGTTCGGGTAAAATCCTGCAACTTCATTTCCTACACAACTCTTCAAAAATCGCTATCATTTACAGAATTTTGCAGGAATTTGGAGTACGGGATCATTTTTCCTGCTCCAATTTCCTGTAAGTTCCTATAAAAACCTGTAAGTTAATGGAGTACTGGATCAGAGCTAATAAATCATTAGCAATACGAACCGCGTACATCTATTCTCTCTATTCATTCCTCGACCATAACATACTTATGGTCATTAAAGCTTTCTATTGGCCTGTCTTCATTTTAAATTGCAATAATAAAACAGTGTAAAATCAGAAATAAAATGGTGTATCCCATACAAATATAATGGTGTATAATGACTTTATATAAATATTTTCTAAGATAAAATGGTATTTCTAAGTTAATATGATATATTTTTTTTTTGTGGATTAATAGCCAAGAAATCAGCAAAACGCGTGGTGTACTCAAACTGTGAATATTTTGAATAAGAAGCGCACAATTAAAGTTTAAAGTTGATCGATTGGTTTATAAAAACTTACAATTCGTTTTTCTCAAAACTAAACTTTTCATGTTACACTATTTTATTATTCCAGCGACGATATGTACATACATGAACATGTCTTTAAATGTGCTAGTTAACAAAGCTTCTACTACGTACTGTACCAAATTGTGCTTTTGAGCTTTAAGCACGCCATAGTGAAAGCTGGTTGTTGTATCCGCTAAGCATAGTGAAGAGAATGCCCAAACAAAAATGTTCGTAGCAAATTTCACCATTGTTTGGTTATAACATCGAATGTGCAAAGCTAATACAATTTCAGCGCAAACAAACCACGATTGAGAGAATACAAAGGTTGCGCCGATCTCGGACCGCTATTCCTCTCTTAACGAATTTGACAGAATCGTTGTTTGCATGACGTCACACTTGTGCAACTTGTTTACGTTTTCCTTGCAACATTTTTTCTTCTTCTTCCATTCTTGCTCATGTTTTGGCATTTCTCTCTCGCAATTGCACCAGTGTGACGTCACACAAAAGTTATTCTCAAAAATCCTCTCTGATCGGCGCAATCTTGTATTCTATCATTCTTGGAAACAAACTGTTTAGAACTTAAAAATATTTTTGTGTGGATTATTAAGTATTTCAGTATTCTCAGCATACTATCAGCCGATTTACATATCTCACATCTTAGACAATGTTTTTTGCCTCTGGCAACATGTTTCGCCTAAAAAAATAAGATGAAGAAAGACGATATCTGGCTAAGGTCTGTCTTTTCGGCATCAGTTTCTAAAATCTTTTTGAGAAATTTGTACGCCGTTCCAACCAAAACAGGCGCAAACATACACAGTTGACCGCGAATATACAGTATCGGTCATATTTATAGCACGCCATTTCATGTGTGATATTTTGTGCCACTTACGTTTGTTTATTTATTATTAAAAATTCTCAATTAAAATACAATTCTTTCTCTAATAAAAAAAAAGAAAAAAAAGTGCAACAAATTTTCACCCAAATTTCAAACTTTTTTCTCCGAAGGGTTAGAATTTTTTTGAATACGCAGTTTTATAGCCCAAGCAATTTTAGTCTGATAATGTGCAAGTTTCAAGTGGCTCAAAGTTACCGTTGATTTTTTGGCATTTTTTTCGCCAAAGGTGTTGCAGATTTCTTCCATATACAAATAAATTGAGTTTATTCATTATATAGAAGCCAATGCGACAAAAATTCTAATAAATGAACGATAATTTGTAGCCACTTGAAATTTGTACATTATCAGACTAAAATTGAAGGGGCTAAAAAATTGTGTACTCAAAAAAATTCTACCACTTCCGAAGAAAAAATTTGAAATATACATAGGTGTAAATTTGTTGCACTTTTTGCAGTTTATGAACTTCAAATGTTTAAGCTTGGGTTTGTATGGAGTTTGTCTCAGAATTAACTATATTTTAATTGAAAATTCTTAAAAACAAAGAAATCATTAATAGTGGCAAACAATTTCACTTTGAAATGGCGTGCTATATTTAGCTATGACCGATACCGTACATAAGTTTTCTTCGCGTTTTCTTCTTGGGCGTAATTTTCTTAGGCCTCTTATTTGCGCAGCCAACCTTTGAACTACCGACTTTTTTTCGTATGCACTGACGATTTACATTTGATAAACAAGAGTGTATATGTATTTACTCAAGGGTAAATGTCCGTAAGCGCTAGTAGCCACGTGTTTTTGAATTACCACCCCCTGTGGTTGTTTAGATGTCAAAGGCAAAACATAATGTACATTTTATATACATAAATACATACATGTTTGTACAAACAAATTGTACATTGCTCTAAGAGGCGTGTGAACGAACTCATCTGTGCGTGAACTTTGAACTTCTAAAATTAAGTCTATCTATTGTTTTCAAAGGAAAGTGCTATTGTAACTAAATTTTTTGTACAACGACCTACAGCAGGGATACAGAGCAATGCATAAATTAATGAAGGCCACTTTAATAATGTAAGCTTGTGAGAATAGAAAATGTGGAAAACTGACCGATTACACAAGGGAATAAAAATGGGTGAAAATTTTGTTGCGGCAAATGTTAAAGCTGTTTCTGATTGACTTCTCTGTGCAGATTACGAATCCGTAAGCACAAAGATTCCATCAGCTCCAGATTTTGAGAAAAACGAAGCCTAAGGGTCAAAATAATTATATTTACTAAATCGATAAAAATAGCGGTAACAAAATCGATGAACATCGCTAAATATCGATAACAAAATCGATAAAAATATCGATAACAAAATCGATAAAAAAAACTTTAAGTTAAACGCTAGTTAAAAATATCGATTACAAAATAGGTAACAAATCGATAAATATCGATAACAAAATCGATATATATCGATAACAAAATCGACAAATATCGACAAAAAATTTCGATAAAAAATCGATGAAATATCGATAACAAAAACGATAAAAAATATCGATCATTTTATAGATAAGTCCCGAGAATCCCGAAAATCTTCAAAATCCCAAAGAAGTTTCCGGATTGAGTCTCTATATTTTTTCCTCTATAATTACCTTTATTTTAATCTTTCTTCCCCTATCTTCATCTTTACTTTTATCGGGATCCTCACCCTCCCCTTTGTCTTAACTTTTATGTTTATCATTTTCTTCATCTTCATATTCCCCTTCACCATTGCCCTTATATATATAAGTAAAGTGTTTAAATTTACTTTGGTCTTCATTTTTTCCTTTGGCATCTTTGTTTTTGTTTTTATTTTTACCTTTGTCTTTATCATTTTCTTTATCTATAACTACGTAAGCTTCTTGTATTGGTCTTTTTCTAAGTGCTATTCTTTAACCTTTTGTTAGAAAATTTTTGTTAAATTAATAACATATGTAGGTACATTCAAGAAGCACTTCCTTCCGTCCCAACCATTTCCGTTGCATCATTTCCGTTGCACCACTGCCGTGTGCAATTTACGTTGAATTTTCCAATTAACTCCCAACCAACCAACAATTCGAAACAATAAATTTTTTTTTTACTTTTTTTTTATGAAATCAGTAATTATTTATTATCCACTGATTCATAGTATGAATCTTGCTTATTTTTTCACGATTATAGTAGATTAGACAAGCTTTAGCCTGATCGTTTAAATTTTTCAAATAATCATTGTTTTGTACAAATTTTTAATTTTTATAAAAAAATTTTATAAAATGGAAATATTTATTACTTCTCGAACAGATTTTTTAATCGTTTACATTGAATATCAATCATTATTCTATAATACATTATTTAAAGAAGAAAAAAAAAAACACGGAAACTTGCACGGAGTCGCTAGTTATTACTTTTTTTTCGCTCTTGCCACGTGTGCTTTTGCTTTCATGCTACGTGTCGCGCGAACTTACAGCGAGCGTGGTGCGACCAGAGAACGCAAAACAATAATAAAATTTACAAATTCAAAAACTTTAACATACACGTGTTAACAAAGGATTAAACTTTAATTTAAAGTAAATGTTTCTAATTTCCGACCGCTAGCTTATTTATAAATTCGGTTTGCACTATGCACTTTTTTTGTAAATTTCGATGTGGGTTCTGCGCAAAAGTACTGTGGATGGCATAGCCGGAGTGATATGCACACGAAATGTTGTATAGCTTTGACATGCGG